CTTAGATTGTTTTTTTTTATTGCTTAGATGGGCGAACAAGCTCACAGCCCACCTGGTGTTAAGTGGTTACTGGACCCCAAGGACATCTACAACGTAATTGCGTCACCCACCTTGAGATATAAGTTCTAAGATCTCAGTATAGTTACAACGGCTGCCCTACCCTTCAGACCGAAACGCATTGTTCGGGTGAAGGGAGTAATTTAAGAACCTGGCGGACTAAATAAATATATTATATTAAAACTTCATCTTAAATAGAATTCAAGTAGCAAAAACATGGAATCAGACATATTTTTAGTAGATATTTATCACTATCAAGATATCACAGTTCTAAAGCTTATTCTCACAGTGCAAGGAACCGTTATTTTGGCCAAACGTACATAAATGCCATTGATATTCTGACAATACCAATTATGTGTTTATTGTAAACGTTAAGATTGCCGGTCGACTGTAATTTGCTTTTAATTCTCCTTGTTTTGTATCATTTTCGTGTTTCTTTCTTTTTACAAGTAGAAATACTTATTGTGACTCATAAACTTTCATTGCGCGATTCGTGATTCGTTTTTAATACAATAAAAGTGAAGCATCTATTTACTAATGCTTTATATAATAAAATATATTACAGTGTTCATAGAAGTACTATTAAATTTGGCATAGAATAAATTTTAATGTTCTGTTTGAAGGCTTCATGTTTCCAAACACTTTCCTAATGTACGTGGCCTACCATTTATATTGAAAGAAAAGGAAATTTATTTTTAATTACACAAGGCTTAGTTTACTATAGACATAAATTGTTTGAAAACTGCTAAATACGTTTAATGACGTATGATTCAAGTTTCATAAAAATCTCGATTATAAATCTCGGCAATAAAAATACGAGCCCTTGAAATAATTGATTGTAGTTACATTGTTACAATCTTGTGCGTAAAGTTTAATGCATTAAATAATTTATTCATTTTATATGATTTACAAGTTATTTAACGATAAGGAATCCAGTTAAAGTGTAGTTGTAAAATCTAGGAGGCCATGTTTACGATAAATATTTCCTATTTTACGACACTCACAAAACATATTACATAAAAACACTTATTATATTGTTTTACAGCAGTTTTATAAAGTTAAGGACTAAAGGATTCTATTTATAAAGAGTGTTAGAAGTTGTTTGGAGGTATATTTTGTGGAGGTATATTAAGTAATTAGTTGATGCCTGCGGTATTTAAACATACGCATAGTTACATTTTTTTGATAGAAGAAAACCGAGATCTTATTTTTTAGATCACGATTTCTTGTTCCAAAATAGCGAGGTTTTGACTTATTTTTTTAAAATGGCGACATACACATGGCGGGCTGTCTGTGGGCTTCGGTGACCTTAAAATGCCATGAGCTTGCCTTTCTGAAATTCCATCGCAACATATACCACTACCATGTACTTGACATTAATGTGAATATTTTTAATTACAAAATTAGAAATCGCATATATTTTAGTTCTGTACGAAAATAATTTTATTGTGTGAATAATTGTGATATAAATAACCTAAAAAGGAAACAAACAATCAAACCGTTTGATTTTTTCTCATAAAAATGTTCGTCCCAAAAGTTTTGCGGTTGTGATTAACCCAACCTCCTTTAAACGTATAAGTGATATAATTGGGGTCTCGATTCTATCGATTCTAATTCGAAATAATGGCCGGTAATTTACTATAACCATTTGTTGAGGACAGTCGATATTCAGTCAATAAATCGATGAAAATCGATATAATAACGGTTCAAAATCGACGTTTCATTTCTTTAAATGCTGATCAGTGGATTCGCTTAATAATAGTCATAATCTTAAACGATAAACATTTTCTTTGATGATTGAGGTAAGTTTTAGAGTGCTCATTTTTTTTGCATTGCTGAAACAAAAACTAGGTATACTTTAGTATTGTTTATATAATTTTGTAAATTGAACTGATCTTAATTGATTTTTTTTTATATTTTGATTTATATGTACTTTTGATACCTTAAACTGTTTGAAGATGTTTTAAAATTTTCGTTCTTATCTACATTATTACTACATATAAAATTATTTGCATCGCGTGCGCTACTACCCAAGCGAAGCCGGGACGGGCCGCTAGTTAATTAATAAATAAAATATGAAAATTTAAAAAAAAAGGAAGGAACACCTGAAAATTTACTAAATTTGAAAAAGGTGGAGGAAAGGGATTTTATGACCGCATGTTATGAGCGTTAACGCGTACTTGGTTAATTAGTAAGTGCGGTTGACCGCCGCGGCCGGCGGACCCTATCCGTGTGCGGGATCTCAAAATAATATGCGTTTTGATTTAGTGACCCAATTGTGGTTAAAGAAGGCACCGCTCACCGGAGTAGATAAAATATTGTTTACGCCTGTACATTAACACGAATTAAACGAAATTGTTTTTGTAAGAATATAAATTATTATAAACAATGTACAGAACTCGGTTTTGAATTAAAACAACTATAAATTCTGCATTAATTGTTACGAGATGAAACATAGTTTTCTAAGAAGCAGACGCGGAACGCCATTGAATTGAAATTTTTTTTTTAAATAAATATACATGAAGTACAGTACAGATTAAAACATAAATATTTTTGATATTTATAAGTCATGTTTTATCGGAATTTCTGCTCTAATTAACCAAAAATACTTGCTTATTGACTGATTTGTGGTGTGCAGTACTTAGCGTCGCTGACTGCTGGGCCGAGGGATGTGGGTTCGATTACCACATTGGGCAAACATTTGTGGCATGGACAGGTTTGCTTGCTGTTTGTTTGGTTTTAAACGTATTTAAGTATGTATATCAGTGTCAGATACCCATAGTAAAAATACTCAAGCTATTTTTAAGATTATGGACTGGAAAACACGATTGAGCTAATGCTGGATCACAACTTCAATACCGCCACCCAACTTGATACATTTTATTGAAATCTATAATATGTATATGAAAATGAATTGCTGTTCGTTAGTCTCGTTAAAACTCGAGAACGGCTGGATCGATTTGACTAATTTTGGTCTTGAATGATTTGTGGAAGTCCAGAGGAGGTTTAAAATAAATATGAAAATGCTCGGAATTAAAAAAAGTTACATTTTTGTTTTTCCTTTGATGTCTCCCCCTCGGACGGATTCCTTTTGTTTGTTTTAAGTTTATTTTATACAAAAATTTAGGTCTTTTATTTATCGATTGAGGCACTACGAAGTCTGCCGGGTCAGCTAGTCTGAATTATAAAATACCGGCTATCCCATAATTCAACCAGGACATAGGAATTTTTCGTTACAGGACAACTAATTAAAAATACATATATGTATATACTTATCACGACATAGTATAAAATAAAGTCGCTTTCTCTGTCCCTATATCTGTCTGTCCCTATGTATGCTTAAATCTTTAAAACTACGAAACGGATTTTGATGCAGGTTTTTTTAATAGATAGAGCGATTGAAGAGGAAGGTTTTTAGGTATAATAACATCCATTAAATAGTGGAGAAATCAATAATAAATTACAGTTTCCGAAGCGAAGCGAGGGCGGGTCGCTAATTGTAATATAATCGAAACATGATCAAAAAGGACTAACTTAAAACAACAAGAGTTTTGCAACTGAGAGTAACTTAACATAGCTCGATATTTGGAATAATTAATTACTATAAATATGAACTTGCGGAGCTTGGCTCAAAAGATAACCGAAGCGGTTAACTAAGTAAATAGACCCAAGCAATTAATTCAGGGTCCATTGGTCATAATGTTTGTTTGTTTGTAACTTCGTATTAGCGAGTACGTGTACCGCAATATTACTGTTAACTCGATTAACAGCGGTACCATGAAATTTGTTTTGTTTGTGTTGATTTTAATATACATTTTTAATACACTCAGATTGTTTATTTACGGGATTTAGATGAAACTGATGATATTGGAAACAAGCGAAACTTATACATAGTTTATTCTTTTATATCGTAACGTTAATTGAATCACGATCTTTTTTGTTCTTAATAAAATATGTAGTAATAAAATGTAGATAAATATACATATATGTTATGTAATATAAACAAAATACTAAAGCTAACGTCATGCGTACCCATTATGCTTATATCGTAGCTTGACATCGTGAACATTAAGATGCGTCGATAATTAAAATTTTCCCAATCCACATGCCATCATACACCGGTTACCTTAACAGCGGAACAAAGCGACACACAATATTTAATATTCAACAATCCCAAAATCCTTTGTAAAACGCTGCCACAATGGAAAAGGGTATTTTCCTTTAACGGTCCAACCGTTAATTCGTGTTTAATTCGACACCTTGTTAATNTCGTGAACATTAAGATGCGTCGATAATTAAAATTTTCCCAATCCACATGCCATCATACACCGGTTACCTTAACAGCGGAACAAAGCGACACACAATATTTAATATTCAACAATCCCAAAATCCTTTGTAAAACGCTGCCACAATGGAAAAGGGTATTTTCCTTTAACGGTCCAACCGTTAATTCGTGTTTAATTCGACACCTTGTTAATTGTTTCCGACGCCCTAGTCGGTTTGGTGACCTCACAGGGGGAAGGAGAGGTCATGGACAGTCGAAGACCACCTTTGGTACCTCTGAAACCCCCGTCGGGGGGTCATTTTAAGAATATTTGCGTAACGCCCCCTCTATGTTTACACGGGTTGTTTGTGGTTCCCAGAAAACAATAGTCTCGAAATTCATTGCTCATTTTATTATTGTTGATACACCATTTAACGGGCGATTCGATTATTGGAACCTGTAATTAAATGATAATACTGGGAATTAATTGGATTTTACCTGAGTGTTACTTCTAAATGGCGTTATGGAAACAATTCGGAGGGCGGGGTTTTCATTTTCTAATAAAACTAAAAGTAAAATAAAGAGTTTCTGAGAAAATATAACTACTACCTTCAATAATTAGGATTTCTAAAAGGTCTGTGTAAAACTTGTAACTTATTGTATTTTATTTATTATACAGAAATGGCTCGACTTGAAAAGTCACCACTCCTCGCCAACGGATACAACGCGCCACCGACGCACCTTGGTCCTATGGGCTTCATGCACCAGCACGCTCTCATGTCTCCCGGAATGCCTCATCACGGCGTGCCCAGACCGGACGGCTCCATCATTAAAGGCCAACCAATGCACAACATGGAAGCATTAGCAAGGTAAAATGTTAATGATTATTGACTGTCATTCAGTATATATCTTATGTCTGCTTCTTTCTTCTTCTTGTTTCCTACCTAAACTTATAGCCTTGAGAGGCTATTTCAGCGTAACCTTAACTAGATGCTAACACTGACCCTAGCAACCCACTGAGAAGATCCGGCGAGAAACTCAGTGGGTTATGTCTATGGGTTAATTCTGTTTATAGTAACAGGTAGAATTGTTTAAATCATAGACACATTGACTTGAGAAAGTAAAGAAATAACATTGAATATTTCTTTAAAGTTTAAACATCCTTCAATGTCTGTTTTACTGTTCGTTGATGGCTCTATAAAATTGAAAAGAATTAAAAGTGTTAACACCCCTGGAAAAATTATATTACCATTTTTACGGCTTGGACACCGATGTGGATCACTAACTACATATTTGGTTGTCATAAATAGTATTACCGGATGCAAGACTATTTTGGTTTTATTGATTAAAAGATAAACTTTACCATAATTTATGAATACAAATTGTTTACCAAACTTAGAGACGATAAACTGAAATAGCACGAAAATCAATGTGTACTGAATAAAGACTGTTTATCTTTAGAGTAAATACAAAATTATTGAAGGAATTATTACAGGGTCTTGTTCATTACGTTTTGTAAGAATTTATAGTCACTTAGATAGAAATTATGCAGTTGCTTTGAAGTAATGCTCTGAAAATGAAAAAGGTATTTTTGATAGACTACAAAATCAAGCCTATCAACATAGGAAGGAAAAAAAAGGGAATTTGTTAATTGTTAAATACAGTATACCATACTAATACTAAGTCTTTGTTTAAGTCTTTTTACTATCATAGAGCTGCGGTATATTTTCTTTGATAGTTTTTGATAGATAAGGTAGCAATCAACTCATATATTGAAGTAATAAACATTTGAAGAGCTTTCAACGAACCATAACATCACTACCATACTGGTGCTTATCGATCTAGTCAGTGTATTGCTCAAAACCGTTTTACGTATTTCAAATTTTATTTTTTGAGTGGTCGACCTTTCTTACTTTTTGAATTCAGTCACCCATCTTGAGACATGAGGTCGTAGTCTCAACTGTAAAAACTGTCACTGGTCTGCGGCAGAAATAGGGAATCCATGAAACGTTGTGTCACATGCTTGCAATAAAATACCTAAATAAATGCTTAAGGTATTTAAACATTATCCCCAACACACGATGATAGATTTAGATATACAGACGAGTTTTCGAATGTTAACATGTAAGATCAAAGTCTCAGTCGCATAAACAACGGCTACCCTGCCCTTGACCTTTGAAGCCTAGTGAGTAACATTTATTCGACTTCCTACTACAGTCCTGCATGTATAGTTTAAGAAATACAGTCGTAATAATAGTACATAAATGGATTAAGAATAAGTCGACGAAAAGAAACCTATAAGCGGGTCAGACGACAAGTGGCACAGGCTAAACGTAAGGGTAGGAAGTTAATCCTGTTAGATAAGTACAAACACTGAATGCCCCCACTTCCGTTCCGAAGACCCACAATACTCACTTCATTTACCCTACTGTCTTATATTTTCTCATTAAATAAATACATTTTGAATAAAAAGTTTGGGTATATGTGACTTTTTATATTTTAATGCTTAGAGCCATTGGTTTTATTGGACCGAATTTCATTTTAATTCAAGGAATATAAGATGAAAATTCTACTTATACAAACACGCGATGGAGACAAAATGGCAGTAGGTAATATTTATTGTATACACACAGTCATCGAATACAATAAAAATAAAACAGAAAATATCAATAGTGCTACTTTTATATACTCGTACTAAACAATGAACAGAATACAAACAAGAGCCATCATCCATTGACGTGAAACAAAACATCTCTCAAGCATTCTTAGCAAGGAGCATTCTTTGGATAATAAATCCTGAAGAAAGCTTTGACGGAAAAAACAAAGAGTTAAAAGTAATCGAGAAACAATTTCAACAATCACGCATGAGTGGTCACGTTACAAATATAAGCGATTGTTTTTAAAACATAATTAATTTGTTCGACCCTTCGCTCCATCTAACGGTACATTTAATATTGAGTGCTCATAATTATTACTTTAAAATACGAACCCCTTGTTTCGTTTCGAACTTCATTTTTTAATTTTCGTAAGATTGTTATGGTAAACTTCAAAATTTTCGACACTGAAAAGCTTTTATTACTAGTATATTGAATTGGACTCTACGATTGAGCCATAAAATATCTTCCTATAATACTTTTATTATTTAAGGCTATTTACCAAAGATAAGCGAGAATAATACCCGAATGCGTGCTCATAGTCGTTTTCTACCATAATTTTATAAATGATGAAAATCAGCCTTTAGCTTTGATATTGTGGTGTTATGGGTTTTTTATTGCTCTTATAGGTAGTCTATCATACAGCTCATGGTGAGTAGTTACCGTTGCTCATGGACATTAGGAATGCTAGGGGCACAGCCAATTCCACCAATCTCGAATGAATAAACCTCAAACTCATAGGTATAAATAAGATTTACCGTTTTCATCGATGTTTGATTGTAAGAAAAATTTAATAACAGGTTATGTTTAAATATTAAACCATAATCTGTTAAAAAATATATTATAGACACAGCAGCTACATCTGCTACGTACATAAATATATGTGCCACAAACATTGATAATTTGATCTTTATAATAGTAATTAGGTATTAAGTAAGATGTAACGAAATTAGGTTCAAATATAATTTGTTGCAAGCTGTGCTGAGTGATAAATATATAGCTGTCCAGTAGTTTGAACAACTACAATCATTCCGAAAACAAATACGTACACGATCATTTCAAGTTTTCTTTATTTTTGTTGACTGTCTCTCTAAAGGTTCTTCATTTTTTCTTATTTTATTTTTCTTTGTCTGCAGATCTGGTATATGGGAGAATTGTAGAGCGGCATATGAGGACATCGTAAAGCATCTCGAAAGGTAAGATGCCGAAGAAACTAGCTTCACCTTTCCCGAATATTGGTTTTGTCTATCTTGCTCCTACTGTTTTTCGATTTCATTTATTTTTATTTTCCGTTTTCATCATCACCATTGATCAAGTTTTACTGCTCTTTAATATTACAAAGATTTGAACATAGTAAAAAAAAAACAAAGAATTTGTGTAATTTAAAAAGGGCGCTGATATCAACGAAGGGTGTGAAATTAGAAGAGACAATTAGATCCGTGGATCGGGTGTATTTTTAACAAATGACCGCTCGCAGAGCCCGCCGGTTGCGGGGTCCCGGCGATTCATCAAACTCATTCAGGGGCTAATCTCGACGCGAGGAAAAAGCGGCTCTCATGTAAATTGGGCCGATTCGAGGGCCAATCGTTGGGGGAAAGTACTTTTCTTTTCTTGTTTAATGGATGGTGATTGATCGGCGGGTCGCTTTGATACTCGCGGTTTTGACTTCGTTTTGAAGTGACTGCGTTCGAACGTTTCCTTTCCGTATTAGATCGATGTCTTGGGCGCCGGAAGGAATTTATATTAAATGGTTAACGGATTTTCATTTTGTGGAAACGTTAGGCACCGCTATGAAAGGCAACTCAAGAATTAAACAAAACGGAATCGTCATTAAAATTTTGTGCTCTCGAAATTAAATTTAGTGGATTGTTTTAACAAAGTCGTGTATCCATAGGGTCTGGCGAGAGTCGAGTCTGAGGTAGAATTACATTCGGACAGGCTCGTGTACCGATGTGTCACTGTCAGCCGGCCATCGTCCCGCCTCGCTCCGGGATTACAGCATTTTAAAAGAAATTACTCATCAATTTGGCGCTCGCGAAATAGAATTTAAATTTATTCGGCAAGATATCGATCATTTTAGTTTTTGAATATTTTATTGTATCTATACAATTATTATTAGAAATTAAATTACTACACGCTAATACAAACAGCTAGTATGGGTAATGAACCGTTGAACCGGTACCATTGAATAGATTTGTTACGAGTATACACAGATGTATTTCTAGTAAACTTCTTCGAAAGTCTAGTCTCTGCTTTACTTATTAGTCTTAGCAGGTCAACTAACGACTTATCTAATATGAAATATTTACGGGATCTATCTTAACTGGCTATAATGTGGAATAGTAGTATGAATTGATTTGGTTTCACGACTGCTCTATATTCAAATACACGGTTTCTCCGCTGCAAAACGGTAGAATCCAATTGTGCACGCTTGCAACATCCCTAGCCTTAGTACTTAAGACAGGAATGAGATGGAGGAATTAAGAGGACAGGTAGTAGGCTAGGTCGTTAATAAGAAAGTAAGCCAAGATACTAAGACTGAGGTACGACCTACTGATACCAGTTCATTATAAATAATAGGAAACTATTATCAGTAGGTCGAGCAAGTTGAGGTCTGTCTACGCTCTGATTAGAATTGAGTAGTATTTAATTAATGAGATTAGAATCTTTAAAATCTGTGTTTATTTTTATAGCATTAATAGATACCGCCTTTCATAAGATTGTTAGCTTAGTTTGATCCGGACATCTCACCCAGAACTACAGGCTCCAGGTTCGATTCGATATCTGATGGAAGTGTCTGAGTGGGAGATATAAAAATTTGAGATCAAAAAGAACAAGTCTCATATTTGTCTTTTTTTTATTGCTTAGATGGGTGGACGAGCTCACAGCTCACCTGGTGTTAAGTGGTTACTGGAGCCCATAGACATCTACAACGTAAATGCGCCCACCTTAAGATACAAGTTCTAAGGTCTCAGTAAAGTTACAACGGTTGCCCCACCCTTCAAACCGAAACGCATTTATGCTTCACGGCAGAAATAGGCACGGTGGTGGTACCTACCCGTGCGGACTCACAAGAGGTCCTATCGCCAGTAAAAACCGGTAACGTACAAGAAAATCTTGATTTGCTAAGGTCTTGAATATGAATCGTATCTACATTGATAGTGACACGTCATGTTTTATATTTTATTTTTATTTTGTTTTTGAGATTTTTTAAAACAAACAACTGACCATTTCTATGATCTATTTATGGAATTACAGCTTATTAATAGTTACTTAACAAAAAAGGAAATCGGGTAACCGATAGAAGAGAAAATTATACTTAATTGTTATTGGCAAATTCCTTAAAAAACTAATATAACATCATCTCAAATCAAATAAGATTTAAGGTTAGAGCACGCGACCATAGATTGATTCCAATTCGATAAGTATATCGTAATTTAAAATCATTCTATTCTACCATGTGGTATTTGAAAGACAAAACAAATAATCCACAGTAACAAAACCTCGTTTTAAGATGATCATTGGCTCGTTAAACGTGCGCATGCGTTCGCGACCGGTTCTCAATACTAAGTCCGACTAATTGACAGGATTACCTCTGAGTAATATAATTTGTGCTGTTTGTTTTGTTCACTCAAGAGTCTCGATCGCATTACATTAATCTGATTTGTTTAGATGTGCGCGGCGGAGGGGTTGGGGGGGAGGGTTTAACTATGCCACAATGGTTTGTTTTCAATCTTTTAATAATTGTTAAATGACTTCTTGAACTATTTCACGACGACACGTTTGATAGTGTAAAATGGTTACATTTGGAAAGAGTGAATGAAAATTAAAACAGATATTCACACAGTCACCGCGTTTCAAGCTCTGGAACGTTAAGCACTAGTGATTGATGGATCCGGATGTTTTACGCAAAGAGACTCAATCAAGAGTCAACAAATCGTCCGGATCAATGCATTCGTCCGGTTTAATTCCGTTTCGGTTCGAATTAGCTGCGATTAATCGTCGAAAGCGGCGGGTTAAGCCGGTCGCGCACCGAGGGCACACGCCACCCGGCCCGGCACACATCGCAGTGACGGCGATCGTTATTCATCCCCGTGCCCCTTGCTACGGAAAGATAACGCTGTTTACTGACCCTTAATTCGATTTGACTTTTAAGATTGAAAAATACGAGAAAATTTTATTGATTTCTCCACGAGTTTTGCGAATGCAATATTTTCCGGCAATCGATATTGTTATCTAATGAAAAATACGAGTCTTCAAGGCATTTACACATGGAAGGCTCAATCGCTTTAGCTTAAAGTCCATACTACTTTACACAACAAAATGTATTAGTGTTTTGCGGCGAATACATATACAAGATGGTAGCACCAACCCGAGCGTCAACGGACTGCTACTCGAATTACGAATTAGGGGAGAGTTGATAGGAAACTGAGATGAGGATTCAACTAATTATGAGGATAGCACGATGAATTAAGTATGAGTACTAAAAGTATGGTGTGAATTGTAGAAATTAAGAGTTTTTAGAGGGATAGCATGGCAGCGTTAATAATGCCACGAGCGTATGTCAACTTTACGGTAGAAATCGGCAGGTTGATATCGACTCGCACCGACTCATATATCAGGCTTCATGAGGAAAATTGTTTTTTTTATATCTATTAAGTTAACAAGATAAACATACGATTTGTTGTTCAGGATCTGAACATGAGTGAAGTATTGCGGGAGTAACATTTGCGTGATTGAATCCTCCACCATTAATTTCAGCGAAGATCAAACGAAGACCGAGGGTGATATTTATCAAGGATATTGCGAATTATTTTAATCAAATCAAATTCCCTTCGTTGTAAACAAATGCTTTTGATTAATGAGACGGGCGACAGAGCCTCGCAGCCGTTGTGATAAAACACCCGAGGAAAAGGCGAAATTAATGGTCATAAAATGAACTCTTGTATCCGAAAGATAAAGACACTGAATGCTGAGAATCTTAAGTGATTTTTCTTCTTCTATTTTGAAAGATGATTCAAGACGATCGCATCTGGTGACTCTGTACATTTATATCGCAGTATTAGCCGTGAACAATTTCGGACGATTAGTGGGTAACTTTCAGCGGGCTACGAAGATATTTAGATTGTCATGGCCCGGAATCATTAATAATAACGACTTTTGATTTTCAGTGCTAATATGCAGAGGGCGCTACGCAAAGGGTGCCTAGTCACGGCCGTCGTTGGCGCCCTGAATACCTTCCGAGTTTGTCACTGATGCGGTCGCACTGGAATTTTATCTGGCTCTTTGTACTTTGCCCTTTTATGGCGAAAACTGTTCTTCGTTAGTTCTGTCGGTGACCCCAACTATTCGTTTTATTAGCTTTGATGTTACATTTTCATTGTCCCGTATAAAATATACGAAGTGTGGCTGTGGATGAAATATTTCACATTGTCCTTATAATTAATTCTATAAAGTAAAGTTTTCAGAGCAACCCGCTTATGTAAAAATTGTCAAAATAAAATAATAATAAAAACTACGTAATGATATTATCACGAACTTTAACAGTATATTATAACGAGAACGGAATCCGTAAGGTGCAGCGTCACCTAATATTAATCTGGATCCAACGTCTGACAGCACAAGTCAAATTTCTCATCAAAAATATGGGGGAAAACATCAATCATTAGCCAGCAAACGGCACGCGGTGTCTGTGTCCCATTATTTTGCATTACTAATGATATGTACACGGCGATAAACGAAAGCTTTAGAGAAAAAAATGTACTTTGTCACCTCCCTCAATGATGTAGGTGTTATGTTCTGATCGGATGTTCGATATTTTTCCTAAATTTAAATAAAAATTTAATAAAGACGGTAACGCGTGCTTGTTAAATATAGCAAGTCGATTTATTATTTAAATCACACTCAAGAATTAAAGCTAAATAATTCCTATGACATGAAGCTTGTTTCACAAATGTAATTACTTGGCGAATCTTTATTGCGATGACAATTGTAATTTATGAGCCGTATTTTTCGTTAAAACAGCTGGTTATGCTAATTGCAAATGTTATTTTATGCGGCGACGCGTGCCGGGCGTGGTGGAAAACATTCATTATTCCATCCTTCATTCGGGTGTCATTTCCAGGAGGGAGGCTAAAAATACGATGCCTTCACTTCACGGGATACGTATTTTTAATCATGCTATAAATTAATTTAA